TGTTTGCTGTGAGAGTGGTGAGGTGCTGGAACAGCTGCCCAGAGAGGCTGTGGATGCCCCGTCCATCCCTAGAAGTGTTCAAGGCCAGGTTGGATGGGGCCCTGGGCAGCCTGGACTGCTGTGAAATGTGGCGGTTGGCGGCCCTGCGTGTGGCGGGGTTGGAGCTTCGTGATCCTTGAGGTCCCTTCCAACCCAACCATTCTGTGAATCTGTAAGATCCCTTCCAGCCGGGTTTCTGCGATGCTAAGCACAGCCACGCGAGGATGCAGCCGACGGAACCCGCACGCGATGCCCAGCCCCAGGCGGCTCCCTGCCGGCTCCGGGCAGCCAGGCGCAGCACGAGGGCCCTCACCTCCGCGCCCCATCTCTAAAAGCGGAGGGACCGCAGCTCAGAGGGTTGAGCCTCGGCCACCGCCCGGCTGGAACGCCGCTCCCCGCCCTCCCGGAGGACCCCCATCCCCGCGTCCCTCCCGGCCCCGCGCCTCCCCCGCTCAGCCGGGCCGCCCCCCTCAGGCCGCGTGCGGCCCGCGCTCACTTGACGAGAGAGAGATGCGCGTCCGCGAGGTCCCCCGCGGGGGCGGCGGGGTCCTGCAGCGTCTCGAGCAGCGGCCGCAGCCCGGCGGCGGCGCTCATGGTGCCGCTCACGGTGCCGCAGGGCGGGGGCCGGGCCTGCAGCCCGCTCCGCGCGCCCCGCGCCGTCTCTCGGGCCAAGATGGCGGCGCGCGCGGAACGGGCAGCGCGAGCGCGCGGGCTGAGCGCTCTCAGCCAATGGGAGCGCGGGGAAGGCGGGGCGGAAGGCCGAGCCGGGAGCGGCGAGCGGCGCTGCGCGCTTTTCTCCGCGCGCTTTCTCCGCGTGGAGAGACTGAACGCTTCCCGCGCCTTTCGGGGCCCGCCTCCTGCCGCGCTGATTGGTGGAGGCGTCGGCCGTGGGCGGGGCCAGGCGCGGGGCGGGCCGTGCCGCTATGGCCGTGCCGGCGGCTGCGAGCTGCTCGTTTCTGACTGAAAATAAACGCTGTTTTTTCAGCTCCGCAGAACCCCCCCGCGTCTATCCGCAATTCCTTGCTGCTTGAATCCCGGGGGCTGCGCGCTGTCACTTCGTCACGCCCTGCTCTCATTGCCCTGGGCGCAGAATCGCCAGGGTTGGAAGGGACCTGAAGGACCATGAAGCTCCAACCCCCTGCCACGTGCAGGGCCACCAACCTGCTCATTTAATGCTAGACCAGGCTGCCCAGGGCCCCATCCAACCTGATGAACACCTCCAGCAATGGACCGGGCATCCACAGCCTCTCTGGGCAGCTGTTCCAGCACCTCACCACTCTCTCTGTAAAGAATTTACCTCTGACATCCAACCTAAGTCTCCCCTCCCTCAACTTAAAACCATTTCCCCTCGTCCCCCCTGGGCACGCAGGGTCGATCCAGCCCTGTGCTGGCTGTGAGCTGGAAGGCTGGGATGTTCCCCCCAATAGGAGCTCTGAGATGGAGTAAATGTAACCAGCTGAGTTGAGATAACCCTCAAGAACGAAAAGAACCCATTGGAGGCTATGGGCAAGGTTAAAACAGAGGTAGCTTTAATGCTGCTTCAGACCGCGGGATTTAAACTGAAAATGAGAACAAATGTGGAATGGTTTATCGATTCAAAGTAGCACAGTCTTCTCAAAACCCACGGAAACAACGCACAGCATCACAGTGGTGTCTTGCAAATGGATTTCTTGGCAGCAGTTCCTTCCGATGCTCCATCTCACCAAGTCTTGTTTCGGTTCTTCCCCACGTGCAGTGGGACAAGATAAAAGACTTGGCCACCTCTTCTCTGCATGAGGAGACCCCAGCAAAATGTGCTGAGTGCTCTCTGATCTGGTATTGCCATGGATCCTGTGCTTTTCATGCTGCTTCGCAACCTTCTGGCTCCAGGCAATGGCATGGGTGGCTGCCAGGCCATCCACAGGATGAATTCATGTGTCTTTAGAACAAGAAGACTCTAAAGGCCTTTTGAATTCGGGGGGATGAGTTAATAATAATAAAAAAATAACAGTCTAAAAAATAAATATGTGAAAACCAAGGAAATAAGGAGTTAAAAAATAATGGAAACATTGCTTGCACAAAAAGTTTGTTCAAATGGTGCAAGAAGTGAGGGAAAGGAACACTGTATATACAAAAATAGTTCTACAGCCTTTGGTAACAATGAACTCTTTTTTTTTTTTTTTTACAGGACTTGTTATCTAAAAATACATCTTATAATTTATTTCCTGGTACACTTTGTTATCAAAACTGATAGACAATAAAAAGTCAGAAAGATATGAAGAAAATGTCCCTGTCTGATCTGAAGAAACAGGTATCTGAATTGGGTTCTAAAACGTGTTTTCCAGTGAGTGGACCGTGCTGTTCTGCTCACATAATGCCAAACTTTCCTGATAAGAAGTTTGTTTTTCCTTGGGAGGTCGTGTTCTTTCCATCCCCTGCCTTGGAAGGCACGTCCATCGTAACATACCTAATTTGAAACCCTCCAGCAGTCACTGAGGCATCTGACAGAAACTTCAGGGTCATAACATTGCCTGGGACAGGAGAGAGAAAAACAAAGGTTATGTTTTGGTTGCAGCAAAACTTGGGGCTTCCTGAGGAGCCTGAAACACTGAGCTCTATGCAGCAAGCTACCTGGTCTGCTTTAGAGCTGTAGGCCCCAGAAAGTGCTGTTCCTTCAGCCCCATTGTCTGTAAAGCCCACAAGTTGATAAAGCTTTGACAAACACAGTGCTTTTTGCACAGCGTTTCCTGTCCTTTGTTCCAGCTGTACAATGTCACACTGCTGCTCAGGGCCCAATTGTGCCTGTGCTTCCCATGCTGCAGCCAGCAGCTGGCTCCTGTGGGCCAGGACACGGAGCCTCTGTCATTTGATGAAGTCAAAAGCTTGATTCATTGTTATATTTCTAAATAGCTTCACCTTATATAGTTATCTGGCAGTTAAGTTATACTTCATTAAAAATAAGTTTCCCCCTCACCTATTAACAAGAATGCTTTAAGTAGACCATGGTCAGAACTGCCATGGTTTTGCTTGACTGATGCAGTCACCTAATTTAAGAAGGGAAGACAGCAGGACTTGTGAAACAGCCACAGAGCCTCATAGATCTACGAGTGACACTTCTTATTCCTTTGTTTTATTTTTATTGTTTTGCTCATGTTAATGATCTCACTCCAGTGTAATTCATTTTTCCCTGGTACTTTTCACTACTTGGAACTTCTCTTTAAACAGACAGATGGGATAATTTCTACAACCAGCTTTGGAGCTATTCTTGCAGTCCTTACTCTTCAGATTAGAAAACGTGATGCAAGAAGACTGCATGCACAGCTGAGACCAGGTTACTGATGGCAGGTCTGCTTCATGAAGCTGCCCATGTGAAAACTCCTTGGGTGTGCTACCTCTGCAAGGCCAGCAGGCTGCTCCCTGCTCATTCTTCTAACTAATTTATTTATTTATTTTTAATTTTATTTCATTTAAAAGTAATTGCATTGGTGAAAGAGTATATGGGCACTTTGGAATAGCATCTTGGGCACAAAGCAGAGGTTGTGTCTTTGGTCATCTTACCCATTTATAACTAGAGAGTAGGGATAAAAGTTGATTTGGGCTGATTTTTTTTTCTAACCATAAGGAGCACAAATATATTACCTGTGCTAATGATATCATCTGGCAACTCATCTCCACAAAACCTGGAACAAAAAGTATAAATAAAGTCATGACTAAAGGACACAGCAGCATCCTGATGAAAGGAGCGTATAAACAGGAGGGGAATGGCTGTTTATGAGGGTAGGTAGTGATAGGACAAGAGGGAATGGTTTTAAACTGAGACAGGGGAGGTTTAGGTTGGATATGAGGAGGAAGTTTTTCATGCAGAGGGTGGTGAGGCACTGGAACAGGTTGCCCAAGGAGGCTGTGGATGCCCCATCCCTGCAGGCATTCAAGGCCAGGCTGGATGTGGCTCTGGGCAGCCTGGGCTGCTGGTTGGCGACCTGCACTGATGAGCACTGTGGGCTTTTGCAACCCAGGCCATTCTATGTGTCTATGATTCTATGACAGTGTCTCTCTGGATGTGCCCTCCTCTGGAGCTTGGCTCCCAGGGCTGAGCTGCTTGCAGGTGCTCAGTGCAAGCAGTTCCCCTCTATATGCCAACACCACCGACTAAAGGCTTTTTCTGGGGGGGGAGGGAAAAATGCAGAAAACATTTTTCAATATACGAAGGAAGTAAATGATGCAAAACAAGTAAAAAGGCAATTTAACAAGGCCTTAAGGAAAAGAAGGCTCGAGGCTAAGAAAGAAAGAACTTGGTCAAGGAAAACTTCTAAAATGATTTCTAAAGGAGAAACAAATGGGCTATATCCTTGCTTTGCTACACATGATTTGTAGAGAAGCTGGGAAAAACTGCAGGAATTGGGAAGTGCTTTTATCACTTTGTTTCTACTTCTTTCTCTGGAAAAAAAATGAGGTACTTTATACTAAAAAGGTGGTTGCTAAAGAACAAGAAAAAAGCTGACAAGAAAGAAAGGAAAGAGAATTAAGGAAAGAGACAAATTTTATGAGAAAGATGACACATAACACCTGTTCTTTGGTTACAAAATATTTAACTTCTAAAGCACATGGAAACTTAAATGTATTTTTACTAACACTTTAGCACCTCTTCTCCTTGCTTTCAATTAAATAAAATGCAAAATACTGTTTGAGAGTGCTCGGTTTTCCTACAGAATCATAGAGCATCACGATAAGCAGCTGGCTGCACAGTCTCACAGCTCTCTTTCATGCATTTTAACAAAGCAGAAGAGGGCAAAGCACGGTTTTCTGAGGCTCTTTACAGCCTGTGTTAATAAAATGGAGGTAAATTGCCAGGAAAGATAAGTCAGGTGTTATTGCTGCGAGTGTTACTAGCATGACAAGTGTTAATTGGATGAGCTATTATGGTGCTTATCTGAAACAATATTCTGGATGGAAAAAAAAAAAAAAAAAAAAAAGCAATCATTTGATTATTTGTATATTGAAGCTGGAATTACCTGCCCACAAAACCGTTGATATCATCATAGCTGTCATAGATTTCCAAGTAATCAGCCATGCAGGCAGTGTCGTCTTCAACATCAAACTCCAGAAACTGGAGGTGAATCCGCTGTCCATACTTTACTCTGATATGCCAGTAGCAAATTTGGTCATTTTCATACTCGTTTGGGTAGCCTGGTGACTTAAAAACATGTTTTGAATCTGTGAAGACTCCACCACATTCTTTTCCTACGAGGAAAATAAAAACATCAGAGTCCAAGCATTCATTTTGGATACGGCAATGATTTAATGCTTTCAGCTCTTCCATGCAGCAGGACCATAGAAAATCACACAGGGACAGCCAGGGTGGTTGCATGTACCATATATTTCAGTAGTCAGCATTCTCAAGAAATGTCAGTCATTCCTAGCTTTTGCCTTTTAGAAGTAACAGGCACAACCCCAAACTCCCTGAATTCAGAGGAAAAGCTCCATTGTCTTTTGTGAACTTTGGACAAGAGTTCAGTGCTTTATGTAAAAGACACTTGGGGTTTCTGACTGTGCTGAACTCCAAGCTTTAGGGCTGTACTTGCAAGTCACTCTGGCATCCACCTTCATCCTTTCTTCTTCAAAAACCTCTTTCAAGCATGTGTTGCACCAAAAACC